AGAGAGAGAGAGAGAGAGAGAGAGAGAGAGAGAGAGAGAGAGAGAGAGAGAGAGAGAGAGAGAGAGAGAGAGAGAGAGAAGGATGGGGCATCTTTGTGGTTACCTGTAGAGTAGGCCATCCCTTGGAGCAAACATCATTTTCTTCTGAATCTTGCCAAAAGATGATATCTTCCACATTGCCTTCCTTGAAGGCCCGATGCATGACATCCCGATTATTGACGTACGACTCGAAAAAACATGTAACGACCTCTCGTGGATTGCTGTCCAGAAATTGGCGCACCTCAAGAAAGAGGCTCGAGAGTTTTGTTGGTTGCGAGAACGGTTTCATGATCTGAGTCTTCTTGAACCCTTCGTGGCAGAGGAACACCTCCTCGCCCTTGATCCAGACGTCAAGCATGAGTGCACGAACTGCAAACATCAATCAACATAGATATTGCCATGTAACAAAAGAGTGAGCTATGCGGGAATATTTCACACTAGGACTTTCTGACATGCACTGAGCCCTAATTGTGGCTGTATTAAGCCCAGAAAGTGTAAGTGTGAGTATGCCGTAAGAGAGGGACATGGATGTTCACCGTTGGTTAGACCCCATTTCCTTTTAGCAAAATCATTTAGGAGGTCTTGGGTTCAATCCCCATTGGCCTCATGTACCTTCCTGGGCAAGCTGGCGCCCACCACCTTGAGATAGGCCCGTTGGTCCCCCGGAGCGGCATTGAGCAGTTACTGCTGATGTTCATAGGGGGAGGGGATCGGAGGGGAGGCACGTCGACTGGCCCATCGAAGAAGCGCGGTCCTGATGCTATCGGCTGACCCCTGGCCGGTTTCGCCCACCTGCTCTAGCGGTATCGCACCTGCTGGTGGGTGCAGCTCCCGCATGTTCCGTCGTTGGAGGCTTGTGCAACGAACCTCTCAGTTCAACACCAATGAGCGCACACAATCACACCACATGCACGAATGAGATCACACTAAGTTCACACTGGAGGCCAGAGAGATGAAGGCCAGGTAGCGCAGCTTTAGAATTCCAACAAAATATCACATAAGAAATTAAGAGTTTCAGTCACAGGCGCTCAACAGCGCAAACCCAAGTATCCCGTATCTCCACTCAGGTACGTATCTCTCCCGAAGCTTTTCTCTCTTTTCTCTCGGTCTTCTCTGTGTCTACTACCTCCCTGTGTCTTCTCTCCCTACTTGCATGCACTCACACCTTCTACTACTCAAGGACCAACTCTGAATACACCCACTGCTAACTCTACTAACCCCTCTGAAGTCTACTTCTAACTACTAGCACTGGCACAGCTATGGCTGCCTTCTCCCTGCCAGCGCTATATCTCCCCCTCTCTCTCTCTCTCTCTCAGCACAGCACTCTGGCTTCACCGCTCTGCCCCTCACAATAGCACACAAGTGCACCAGGCTACCAGCACGTCCACACTTCATGCGAATGAGCTATCTCTGAATGAGGAGGCTGGCCAGTCCTTATATTGTCTTAGACCGAGCTTCAGCTCGTGCCAGCCTCTGCTTCTTGGGGCTTGACTTGGTTCTGGTACCACATGCCCGCGGCGTGTTTGCTTCAGAATGCTGCGGCCTGGTACTTTTCCCGAATTTTCATTGGTGTGCTGCTGCTTGGGCCTTTGAGTCACGACTTTTCGATTATGACACATGGTTTTTGACTGTGGACTGTGTCTCCTGCCTCTGGGACACGACTCTTACCTATGGGATTGCCTTTTGTGCAATGAACCCAAGTCGTGAATACAATGTCGACACTGAAAGCCAAGATTATCGAACCAATGATAGATCTTCAACGACAATAGTATCCAGTAAGAAAGTGGGGGGTGAGATAATCATACACGGACGAAGAGAGGTGGGGGAGATTAGACAAGGGAGAGGGATAAGGCCCACTCCTTCTCCGGGCTCCTCCTACGACAGCAACCCCACATCAGCAATGATCTGAATASAAATTAGAGACTCAGCCTCCGGGTGCCACGTGGCACCGTTCAATACATCAATTAGCGCTGGAGCCTCGTCGACATGAAGACATCAGGTACGTATTCACAACACCGCACAAGTCCTGATCTCATCCCGAATAGTCACGACCCCTCCTTGAAGTAACGAAGCCGATGATCAATAGTCGGTCGTAAGGACCCGACAGTACGACAYGTGGCAGCGCCACGTCAGCAGCAATACGTGGCGACTGCCACGTCAGCAGATCAGAGACAGTCGCCAGCCAGATAGCAAGCCAGCCAGCAGTAACTCAACATGTCAACAAATGCCGGCCTTCCTCCAGTCTCGCAGCGTCAAACCAAGGCTGCGAGAGTCAGGCGCTGAAAACAGCGTCAACGCAAGATAGCCAGAATTCCCCTAAAGTCAAGGAGTCAATGCTTTTATAGTGTTGACTCGGGGTCTGATCCCCGGTAGTATCCAACCTCAGCCGTCCAGATTTCCCTGCCTGGAGGTCTGGATAGATCTGCAACTGTATCCTCTTTGGCCTGGGTCGTAGTCTGGGTACCTGTACTCAAACAAGTGAATGAATCTGATCCAAGACCTGGCATGGTACTTTGACTGACAGTTGACTTTGACCTTTGATTTTCCTAAGTCTTGGCGTTCGGTCCCACAGCCGTACGCAGTTTACTCAGGCCGGGGCATGTGTTGGTCACACAGCCCGGCGCAGTCTTCCACAGACTGCGTGGCCTGGGGCTAAGGTTTGGGCCCCAGGTTGACTGCTGAACAGGGTTATTACATGTGTTCGTGGGATGGGACTTTCCAAGACGACTTTTCATTATGAGACATGATTTTGGCCCTAAGATGTTACTGTCTGCCGGGTGCCTGTTGGACCTTGACTTCTCCGAAACTGACTGACTCGGCCTTTCTTGGCCAGGACCTCTGACCCTGAAACTCGAATTTGGGGTCTGAATCGTGGAAGGCCTTTCACTTGAGCGCGGGGGCCAAGTCCCACTTGCACCGTTGTGCAATTATAACTCGTTTTTGTGACTCCCTCGTAGTTTCCCCCCCCTTTTTTTTTTTCTTTTTTTTTTCAACCATCCCAAGTTGGAGGCACAGCCACTCACTCATCAAAGAAAAGCAGTCCTGATGCTACTGGCTGACCCCTGGCCGGTATCGCCTACCTGCTGTAGCAGGTATCGCACCTGCTGGTGGGTGCAGCTCCTGCATGTTCCCTAGTTGGAGGCTCGAGCAGGGATGTGGCTGCTACGGGGCTCCCCGTAATACTATAATCATTAGTATAATGACAATAAAAAAAAAAGGCATGAAAGGCCGTCCTGTCGAGATTTGACAGGTAATTGAATTGGTTGGGCTTAAAGGAATTAATAATTAGTAATTAGCCTTTCAAGAAAAGAAAAGAAAAATATTTTATCTATAAAAATATATAAAATAAAATAAAAAAGATCTCTTTGGTCTGGTTTGCTTAGATTTTCCAGTCTAGTCTATTTTCCTGTGTTTTTCTGGGTCTCTGTGATCTGCTGATAATATGTATGCCCGTTTGCCGTAACCTAAGTCTGTGTCCCCGTGCCAACCTTGAGATTTCCGTGCTGTGATTTATGTGCCTTGGGCAGGGTTAGGTTAGTCTATAGGTGTAGTGACAGGGACAGACCTGAGATTTGGCTAGAAGAGGACTTGCCAGAAAATCTAGAACTGCCAGGGGTAGAAGTAGACCTTGCCAGGGCCTAAGTCTGTGTCCACGTCCCAACCTTGATTTCCGTGCTGGTGTTTCTGTGGCCTGGGCATGGGTAGGTTAGCGTACGGGTGTAGTCGACAGGGACAGACCTGAACTTTGGCTAGAAGAGGACTTACCAGAAAATCTAGAAAGACCAGGGGTAGATGTAGAAGTTTCCAGAGACCCAATAGGGAGTCTTAAGTCTGTGTCCCCGTGCCAACCTTGATTTCCGTGGTGTGTTTCTGTGGCTTGGGGATGGGTAGGTTAGCGTATAGGTGCAGTGACAGAGACAGACCTGAAATTTGGCTAGAGGAGGACTTGCCAGAAAACCTAAAAAGGCCAGGGGTAGAAGCAGAACTTGCGAGGGAGATGTAGGATTACAGTCTGCTATGATGTTCCCCTGAAAAGGCAGGGCACTGGTGGGCCCAAGTGCACGGCTAGAGGCTGAGAGCGCATGGGGTAGATGGCCCAGAGGCAGAGAGGCACATGTATATCGCTTGGAGGCTTGCAGCAATGTGTAGTGGGGGTCGTTCACCTAGCAGTCATGATGCTTCTCTGCCAAGAGGGAAAAGCGGCCGAGATTCTGGGTGAGCAAGGAGTTGAGGGTGATGGAGATGAGCTCCATGGCTATGGCGGAGAAGATGGTGAGAGGCTAGCTATGGAGTGAGTGGTAGTAGAGGTCCAAGTTGGTCTATGAAGATAGGGGGAGGACAGTAGTAGGTGAGAGAAGGAAAAAGAAGGATGGAACTGAGAGGAAGACTTAAATTTGGTGGCTATGGTGGCTATGGTGGACCTTCATCTTCCCTTGACTGACTGGCACTACATCAAGAAGGCCGCCATAGGAGACCGGCCTGGACTTGGACTTCATCCAAGAGGCAGGCTATGGCGGTAGGAGGAGGGAGAAGCACAGTCGTCATTGCATTGTCTGTTGAAGGACAGAGACGAATGCTCGGCAGGGAAGATCCACCATAGCTACCAGCTCATCTAGGTGCCGAGGAGAGAGGGCAGTGCTAAAGGGTAAATCTCCTTCTATAATAATGGCAGTAAGGGGACCTTTTGGAGGCTGATTCTTATTCATTGCTTCATTCGTTCCTTGATTTATTCCTTCATTCATTCTTCCATTCATTGTTACTATAGTTTTACTACCAAGTGGAGGTATGTGAGCGATGATGATGGAAGTGGAGAGAAGAGGGGAGGTCTCTCTCTCTCTCTCTCTCTCTCTCTCTCTCTCTCTCTCTCTCTCTCTCTCTCTCTCTCTCTCTCTCTGGGTCTCTCTCTCTTTCTCTGTGTCTGTGTCTGTCTGTCTGTCTGTCTGTCTGTCTGTCTCTGTCTCTCTGTCTCTCTCTCTCTCTCTCTCTCTCTCTCTCTCTCTCTCTCTCTCTCTCTCTC